GGGCGCGGGGCCAGGACCTCCCACTGCCCGCAGCAGACCTCCCAGCGATGGAGAGCTGGGCTCCCTCTGCCCCCAAGTCCCGTCAGGGCTCCGAAGATCAGAGCCTGCAGCTGCGGCCAGACTGACCAGTCCAGCCAGTGTCCTGAGCTGTGACCTCACTGGACAGCAGCGGACCGCTCCCCGTCATCTGACCAGGGGCTTGGAGACTTGTTCCCACTATACCAGCCGCATGGATTTGCTTCTTCCATTTGTCCATTTACCCAGCTGACCCCATCCTACCCTCGGTAGGACCTGACCTCTCTCCAGCTCACTAGGGCCTCCCACCTTGACCAGTGGCTTGCATTGGCTGGCTCCAGTATGACCCAGGTCACCAGTCTGACCAGTGTCCTGTGCTCGCCTTCCTTAGAAAAATCAGTGAGCCAGGGTCTCAGTGGTGGCTTGGGCTGGGCTTTCCCAGTCTACCATTGCGAGGTGGCTGGGTGGCTGTGCTCACCCACAGTCTGCTTGCCCAGTGGCCTGGAAAGCCTCTCCCACTCGGCCCTGCGAAGCCCGTCCCTATGGTCAGGGCTCAGAGCTGCTTTCCTGTCTGCCCAGTGGCTTGGAACCTGTGGGTTCAATCTCTTCCTAATAGGTTTCAAACCCCAGCTCTGCCTAGGTGCCTGTAATAGGGGGGCTGCAGGGTGCTTTTTCCTTGGCACTCCTCTGGAGGGCCCTCCCTCTTCCCCCCCCATCCAGGGAATCCCAGGAATGCCACCCCCCTTCCTCCTTCCCTCTCCCCTTCACTCCCTCCCAAGCTGGGGAAGGGGAGGAGGAGGGGGAAAAGATGAAGCTGGCAGCAGCAGGTGAGTGGGGGAGGGACCAAGCCAGGGCACCTGAGGAGAGGGAAGAGGAGCCTGGTTAGGGGTCAGAAGGAAGGGTCACAGGTCAGTCTGAGGGACACAGATCTGACTGCCCCAGGCTCCTCACAAGCCTGGTTTGATGGGCTGCTATGTGTGGGGGTGGGGAGTGGTGGGTGGTGTTGGGGGCGGGGAGGAAGGGAGATTTCACTGCTTACCCCAGAGAAGCTGGCCCTGGACATTGGTCAGAATGGCTGGTCAAGCTGAGAGAGATTCCCCAGCTCCCTGATCAGACTGGGGGTCTCTGCTAAGAGGGGGCTTTTCTGTGAGCCACAGAAGGAAGTTAGATTCTAGGTCAGCCTGGGAGTGTCCGTCAGATAGGTCAAGGGTACCATATCACTGCTGACACAGGGCAGTAATTATTATGCCAGGAGAGGTGACCTTTTCCTATTAGCCTCACCATCAGGAAGCCCTCCCTGCCTCCTGGCTGGGTGGGGTGTCCCTCTGTACTTCCTTACCTCAGCCCTGTTCATGTCTGGGGGTGTGTCTGTTGCCCCCACTGTTGCTGTGAACCTGTGAGGGAAGGCTCAGCTGCCTTCATCACCGCTATATCCCCAGCACCAGACCAGGCACAGAACAGACATTTGGGGGGCCTCCCTGGTGGTGTAAGAGGTTAGGTCTCAGCACTATGAAGCTACCTGCAGCCACGGTAGCAGTTTGATCCCCAGCCAGGGAGTGACCCATAGGGTGCAGCAGACTTCTCCTGCCTTGCCCGCTGCTCCCCTCAGCAGTGTATTTCAGTCAATCCCCTGTTCTGTTCCCCACTCTGCCTCTGGTGAATCCTCTCACCCCCTGCACCTCTGGCCTGTACCTCAGCTCTTGTATGCATAAATAAATAAATCTTAAAAAAAAAAAAAAAAAGACACTTGGAGAAGGAGACACTTGGAGAAGGTCTGTGAGGCTCAGACTTAGGAGTCCCTAGGCTCAACTTGCCACCTCCTCTCAGGCTGGCTCATCACAGCGATGCACATGCTCACTCAGAGTTCACAGACAACCCTGAGCTCCCTAGCAAGCTTACACACTGGACCCCTCGTACCCCCTACTCCCCAGCTCTTCTGACCCTATTGCTTGGGCTGGGCCCCATGAAGTGGCCTCTTCTACCTGTCCTAAGATCCCTGAGGTCCTGGGTGAGAAGAATGGATGGAGTGTGCACAGAGAAATCACGGATACCAGCCTCAGCCCCTCAGACTTGCAGAAACCAGTTCCTTAACATCACCTGCTCTTGTCCTCTACAATTTATTCCCACAAAACAGCCAGAGGGATCCTATTAAAGTGTGAGTCAGCCCAGGTCACTGTCATGCTCAGGATTCTGCCCTGGCCCTTCTGCCTCCTGACTGAAATCGAAAGTCTCCTCTATGACTCACAGGTCCCCCATCCGGCCTTTGTCACCTCCTTGACCCCATCTTTCCTTTTCTTTCTCTCCTGACTGCTCTGGCCAGCCTGACCTCTGGGCTTCCATGCTGTTCTTCCAAGCCAGGCACGCTTCTGCCTCTGGCACTTTGCACTTGCTCTTCCCTCTGCTAGGGCATATCTCCCCCACCTACTTGCAAATCTCCATTCCAGCATCAATTCATCAAAGAGCTTCCCTTGACTGGCTATGTAAAATGGGACTCCTCCCACCCAGGCATGGGACTCCTCCCACCCCCCCACCCAGGCACTTTTACTGGCTTTCTCTTACTATATTTTCATCCCAGAGCCTCCATCACTGTCACCATTTTTTTCTCTTGCACAGAACATAAACTACAGGTGATTTTGTTCACAGTCTCTCCAGTGACTAGAACAGTGTGTGACTACAGGAAAAGCCAAGTAAAAATGAATTACTTCTCCATTTCCTCTTTGCTTTTGGAATTGAACATTCACGCACATTTTTAAAAAAAGACTTATGTATTTATGCATACAAAACTGGGGTACAGGAAGAGGTGCAGGGTGGTGAGAGGATTCACCAGAGACAGAGTGGGGAGCAGAACAGGCAGCTCCATGAAGTACACTGCTGAGGGGAGCAGCGGGGAGACAGGAGAGGTCTGCCATACCATGTGGATCACCTGCAGGGCCAGGGATCCAACTCGCACTGCAGGGGCTGCAGCCAGCTTGCAGTGCTGCATCCTAACCCCTTGTACCACCAGGGAGGGCCACTCACACACATTTTTGAAAAATTAAAAAAAAAAATTTTTTTTTGTAAAAGAACTGGGGTATAAGCCAGAGGTGTAGGAGTGAGAGGCTTCACCAGAGACAGAGTGGGGAGCAGAACAGGCAGATCTACTGAAATCTACTACTGAAATCTGCAGCTGAGGCTGGTAGCAGGGAGACAGGAGAGGTCTGCTGTGTCCTGTGGGTCAGCTCCGTGGAGGGGGTGGGGGGGGTTGAGGGGTTTTGAAGTCTGAAGTTAGCTTTGAGAACTCACCCCTCTGGGCCACCAAGGAGGTCCACATTCACACGTTTTTAATGAACTCGCCTGATCTCTCTTACCGCCATCCCACTGCTTTACAGACAATATGGGATGGTGAATTTTAAGGCTCATTCATAGCTTCTGACACATTTGGAGGGGAACTGGCTATTCCCCAGTGGTTCCAGACTTGCACCTGGGAAAATATAACTATTGTTTGCTTGTCGTCTTTGGGGCTCCTGTGAATGCATTTTTGGTCTGAGCAAGGCGATAGCTATGCAGGGAGAATTTAGATGCACATTTTGGGAGAATGAGTATGTAAAATAGCGCAAAGGGTACACAGTGATGTTTTCTTTTAAAAAAAGATTAATTTAGTTATGCATACAAGAACTGGGGTACAGGTAGCGGTGTAGGGGGTGAGGGGACTCACCAGACAGAGTGGAGAGCAGAACAGACAGATTGACTAGAAGACATTGCTGAGGGGAGCAGAGGGAGGGCGAGGAGAGGTCTGCCACACCGTGTGGGTCAGCTTCCGGTTTGGGGATCCAACTCCTGCTGCTGTGGCTGTGGAGAGCTTCCTAGTACTGAGTTAACCCCCTGCACCACCAGGGAAGCCCCATAGTGATGTTTTCAATGCGATGGACTATAGTGGACATTTTAGGGGGAGCTTTGGGTAGCACTGGCACCCCCTCCCCATATTTAGAAAAAATTCTGCTGTTTGAAAGCCCTCTGTTGATTGAGGTTGGTGTTAAGGTGACCTAACTTGTCAAATGGTGCTATACTGGGTGGACAAATGGATTGATGGATGGGTAGGTGGATGAGTGGATGACTGTCGGCTGGGTGGATAGACAAGAAGGATGGGCGGGTGGACAGACGGATGGACGACAATCGGGAGCTAATAATGCTAGAGAAGCAGGACAGGGTCACCTACCCCTTTCCTCCACAGCCCCCCGCAACACAGTCGGTTTTCCAAAGATGTCTGCCACAGCCTCTCACTCTCCATTCAATCTGATCTTGACGCTGACTCCACCAAGATGTGGGACCTGAGTCCTCTCCTCTTAAACCTGTGGTGTTTAGCGACTTGCTTGCAACCCATAGAATGTCATAAAATCGACAGTGTGACTCTCCAAGATTAGGTAGAAAAGGCCCTGCCTCTTCCGCCTGGGTCCCTGGAGGCTTTGACCATCATATCAGCCCCCTGGCTCCCAAATGGCCACTGTGCTGTGGGAAGCCCAACTGGTCAGTGGCGATCTGGGACTGCAGATCGCCTGTTCACCTGCTCCTAGCACCAACAGATTGCACTGTCTGTGCCCCGAGCCAGAATCCTCCAACTGAGCCCTTTTCCAAATCTTGGCCCGCATCTACCATGAGAGATAACAACACCATTGCTGTTGTTTGCCAGCATCGTCTGGTGAGATTTCTTCTAAGCAACAGCAAGCAGACACAGCCTGTCTCTGGGGCAGCAGAGGCAGCAAGATGATTAGTGCCCGGTGGTCACTGGGGCACCAGAGTACCCTCATCAGACCGGTTCTGTGGCGTGATTGTGGCTGGGCTACAGTGGCAGGCCAGCTGCCAGTGTTCTTGATCACTTTACAATCCTGGTTCTCTAATCACCCCTGGGATTCAGTGAGTGATCCCAAAACCTTTCCATCCATTCCCTTTCTGCCCCAGAGGCGGCTTTTGTTGCTGGGAACTCAATCTGGTGGCTGCTTCCAAGCTCCCTTTACACTGGAACACTTTTCATGCATCTTTTCAGTCTCAGCTGGGTGCCCCCTCCTCCCGGAACCCTCCCTGACCTCCTAGACCAGGTCAGCTGCAGTTTTGGGTTCCTGAAGACCCCTGAGCTCCCCCATCCTGTTTCTGGCCATTCTGGTTAAGTCATTCTATGGGGACAGGGCGGCGTCCCTCACTGAGGGAGGCGGGAGGACACGAATCATCATCATCCATCTAGCGCAGGGCAGGAGCAGAGGAGATGCCAGCTGGCTTAAACAGGGGGTACTAACTGGTATAAACTTAGCTGGAGGGTGGCTTGGGTCCTTCTAGAATTAGGGCAAGGTGGGGAGGCACTTCCCCAACTCGATTTTAACCACTGGAAGTCAGTTACTCTGGGAGAAGCAGAGGGAGGAGAGTGGGCTGAGAGCAAATTGTGGCACAACGAGGGTGCTTAACTCTTACGGAAATATGGGTTGCCTTTGACTGGGGGTTAGAATTTGGGCAGCTGGGTCTAGGCCCAGGCTTTTTTTTTTTTTTTTTTTTTGCCACAATGGGGTATACGAGTCGGATGCCAGATTTTTTGAGAACGGGGACTCTGGGTTCCAAAATGAGGAGGACAGGACTTTTGGGTGTGAGAGTCTGGGAGACAAGGGATCTGGGAGCTGGGGCTCTTTGCTCTCTGGTCTGGGGTCCCTGGGTTAACCAGGTGGGGGTCGGGCCTCAGGGACCCCGAGCTGATGCCTGGCTCCCCCTGGTGGCCCTGAAATTTCTCCACATACCAGACACAGATCAGGCTTGGCAGTTTATTTCTGCTTCACAGACCCCTTCCAGCCCCTTGGGTGTCCTTGAGCAGCAAATCTCAGTGGCTGTGAAGAGGAAAGAGGGGTGGTTTAGAGACTGTGGCCCCAGGGCGGGGGGCAGGTGGGTGGGCAGGCCCCACCATGGGCGGGAAGCTGGGTGGGCCAGGGATCTCACCTGGCCTCCGGGCTGGCAGCCACCGTTGGGCCTCCAGGGGAGCTGGGGGTGGTTTCCCTTTAGGAGTTTCTGCAATGGGGAGAGTTTGAGGGGGACTGTTGGTTTCCCAGGACCTTCACCCCTTTTCCCTCAGAGCCAGTAGATCTTGGCCCCAGTTGTCTTCTCCACTTACCCTGTGGCTCCCTCCTGGGCCTGGGGGCTGGAGGTGATTACCCACGAGGCTGTGGCCACAGTCTTAAATTTTGGCAAGGCAAATGGGGCCCGAAGTCTGGGGAGGACCATAGGTGGTGTCTGGAGGGGAGGAGAGGAAGAGATGTCACTGCAGAGTTATAGTGGTGCCACATTTCACGTCTTGTTCCTACGCGTGCTTTGTCTTTAGCACCTCTGACTTGAGTGGGGAGAAGTTTTATTTCATTGATATTCATTCATCCACACATCCCCCCATCCACCCATTCATTCACCCACTCACCTAACCCTCCTGTCCATTCACCATCCACTCATCTGTCCACTGCCCATTGATCCATCTGTCCAGCCATCCATATACCCACCCACCCACCTAATGATCCACACATCCACCCACTTACCCCTGCCTCTGTCTGTTCATCCACCTGCCCGCCCCTTCATTCACTCACTTACCCCATAAACATTCCCTGTGCATCGACAGCACATTCGGCACTATTCTGGGGTCTGAAGAGAGAGCTATGAACTAAAGAGACAACTCTGTTTCCAGGAAGCTGATAGGTCTACTGGGTGAGAGGCTTATCATGATCTGTCAGTGCATGCCAAGGACACACCCCAGTGCGTGGCAGGTGTCCTGAGAGCTGAGACGGGACGGGGATGTGTGAGTGACCGAACACAAGGGCAGGCTCTTGGAGGAGGGCACAACTGAGCAGAGAAGCCTGAGCTCAAGGACATGGCAGAGTCCTGGAGGTGCGTGGTGGGTGGTGGTGGTGGGCTTGGGGGCTGTTCAGAGAACAGCTGGGATTCTCTGCTGCTGAAAGAAGTGGGGTGGCGGGGGTGGAAGCTGGAGAGCCAGGGAGGGGTCAGACCCCCAGACTGTGTAGTGTGGTGGTGGGGGTCGACTGGTAGAGGGAACATTACTTTAATTCCTGGAGTTCTGGGACCTGGGGATGTCTGAGAGGTGAGGTGAGGGAGCCAATCTTGTGGACATCATCAAAACCGGGGTGGGGGGTGTGCCACACTGGACTCCAGTCTCCATGGAGACACGGAGGGCAGGTGAGGCCAGGTGCCTGGGTCCCTTGGGTGGTGATGTCACCCCTGGGGGGGGGCTTCTCCTTTGGAGACCAGCAGTGTGGAGCATTCCCAGGCCAGGGGAGCACCCTGTGCCAATCACAGCCACAGTGCCACTGGGAACATGGCCTGGTCATTCCACACACACAGCAGCCCCACGAGGCGGGGACTGCCCACATCCCCATTCACAGACAAGGGAACTGAGGCCCAGGGGCCTGTGTTCTAGTCCTGAATCTGTCATCTATGAGCTGTGTGACCTTCGGATCTTTGTACCTCAATGTCCCCCTCCATATAATGGGGGCTTCTAGGAGACCTGCCTCATGGGGGTGGCATGAACAGAATGGGTTCAAAGGCAGTGCCAGGCACACAGTCAGGGTTATAATGATCCTCACAGTGGCATTCACCTTGGCGTTAAAGTAGCTCACCCAGGGCTGTCTGGTCTGTGACAGGTTTGAAGGCTGAAGGAGTAGGTGTTGATTGGAATTTGAATCAGGCAGGGTTTGGGGAGAAGAGGAAAGGGTCTGCCAGGCAGAGGGCGCAGGGAGGCGAGGTAGATCAGATCAGCATCTGGCTGGAGTCGCCCGCAGCCAGCCCTCTGGCCGTGTCCCCCTCTGGGCCCTGGGGAGCCGGCTGAGTGCCTCCTAATGTTCCCATTTGCTTTTGGCTCTGCAGGTCGGGATCTGTTTTTAGCTTCCCTGGCTGGTGTCACCGCCAACCCCCCCCCACCCCCCTTTCTTGCCAGCTCTCTTGTTTGCTGTGGTCGAATAATGTTCCCGGACTTCCTGAGCTGTTTGTTTGAAGACTGCCCAGTATTGATTGACTCTGGTGTGTACTCAGTCCAGATACTAACAGAGATCAGCACCCGCCGGCATACCAGGGTCCCAGAATATGTGGGGGGTGGGTGGGAGCAGAGAAAGCTCACTTATAAAATAAGCTGATGATGGGGGCAGGTCTCTAAGGTCCTTTCTCAGGTTCTTGGATCTGGGTAGCTGTCGTCACCTCTCTGAGCTTTTTTTCTTCCGGAAAAGGAGGGGAGAGATTTTTGGTGTTTTATGGCTGCTGGGAAGACTGAGTTGAAGTGATTCATTCAATTATTTTTTGAGTACCTACTATATGTTGTGCACTGTTCTAGACTCTAGGGATATAACAGAGAAGAGGACAAAGTCCTGACCTTCTGGAGGGCTATCATCTGCTGATGGCTACAGGTAACCACCAGAAGCATCCCCTCTGCCAGAAGACGAGGGCCATGCAGATGCAGGGGCACTGGAGAGCAGGGTGGCTATTTTCAATTGGGTGCCAGCAGGACCTTCTTATGGAGAGAATGGAAAGGTGCACCTAGGGAAAGGTGATCCAGGCGGAGGGAATAGGTCTGCAGAAATGCAAAGGTCCTGGGGTAGGACAGGTCTGGGATGGTGGGAGAGCCAAGAAGCCAGTGAGGGAGAGTGAGTAAGGGAAGGCAAAAGAGAAGTGGCCACAGAGGTGACGGTTGCCTGATTGTAGATTTTGAGTATTAAGGTGAATGCCAGGTCTCACCCCTGAGCCCCTGCCAGGCTAGGGACTCTGGTCTGAAGGAGACCAGGGCCAACTACTTCAGACCATCAACTGACTTACCACCTTCAACTGGCATTTATTTCTGGTTTTCCCAGGGGACACATCTAGCCGAGGCGGGAGAGGAGGTGCTGTGGGGCTGACCTAGGAGAGACAGAGGTTAGGAATAGGGTGGTAAGTACCAGTATTCAGGGACTGTTCTAGACCTGGCAGTAGAATGGAGAATAACAAAAAGTCCTCAGAATGGTTCTGGCTGGAGAAAACCATAGCCCCAGAGCCTTGGAGACCGGTAGGATCCTGTCAACAGCATCCTCCTCTCCCCCACCCCAAGGTTCCAGTTCCTCCACCCTCAGACCCAGGGGCTCAGGTCCAGCCTCTCCTCCCTAGACCCTCGCGCTTGACCCTGCTTACCTGCCCCAGATCCACCTCTCCCTCCTCCTGGCCACTGCTGTCCCCCAGGTCGTCAGCGGTGGCACTGGATTCCACTGAGTTCCCTGGGAATTGGTGGATGCTCACAGTCTCTCGGCCTTTGATCTCACAGCGGCAGAAGGGGCAGGTCTGGTTGTAGGAGTGCTGGGGGAGTGGGGAGTGCGGTCAGGGCTGCCCTGTCTCCACCAGGTCCTTGGAACTCCAGGGACCTTTATCTCCAAGAGAGTGAGGTGGGGAAGAGAGAGCCAGAGAGGCGTCCTAAAGAGGAAGCTGGGAAGAGGTGCAGGATGGGAAGGTGGAGGACTGGGCTAGAGCCCAGGCCAGGTGGGGCTTACAGAGGGGGTGCCTGGGTGCTGTGAAGTCTCAGCTAGGGATACTGTTTCTATCTGCTACCTCCGGGGTCACTGCTGGCGCTGGAAGGGCCTTTGGGCTTCTTTTCTTTTTTATTGACGTGACCTTGCATTATAAAATCATACAAGGTTCAGGTCCAGGTTTGTTGCTAAGAATTACGGTCACTGCTACAAGTCCAGATCTTGTAGTTCTCAGAATGGCAGGACAACTCAGCAACAATCTTCAGGGAACTTGGAAGAACAAGTTACGAGTAGCAACTCTGGCAGGGACTCACAGTGAGTTAGAGAAAGGGAGGGCTGGGGCGACGCCTTAATTTAGGCGCTGGATAGGGTTTTGTGGGTTCACTCTATTGGTGAAGTTCAAGGATATGCGTGGATTTAGAGCATGGGGTGGAAAAAGTGGGATCACTTAAGGTTATCTGGGTCACCCAGGGCTTTCTAAAGGGAAACTTCAGGGGTAGGGGCAGCCTGGCTGCTTATCTCACTGTTTTGCTGGTACAGCTGGCACCGAGTTTGTTCCTGATGGATGTCTTTGATATGGATGACTCCGTAATCACAGCTTAATGTCAAACATTCACATCACAATAAAGACTGAAGTCAGGATCTAAACCAATAGCAGGCAGGGGCTCCCTCCTTCCAGGGCCTGGGCATGGATCCTGGGGGCTGGGGGGCCATTTTTCTCAAGGCTCTGAGAGGTGAAGCCATTAGCCCCCCCACCCACCCAGTGAGGGAAGAAAGGGGCATTTTGCAACATAATGTAACCGGAGGGGGAGAGAGAGATGGAGAATCTGGAGATCTCTGGGCCTCAGTTTCCCCATCTGATCAATGAGATGAATGGGCTTTTCCCACAGGAGGGGAAGGTAGGGTGGGCAGGCAGGGTGAGGTCGACCTACCTGCCAGGCGGCCAGGCAGCGGCTACAGAGCAGGTGCCCACAGGGCTCGATCTTCACATCCTTGTTACTCTCTGCACAGATTTTGCAGAGCTCGAAGGTGGAGTCCATGGCCCAGTACAGCAGCAGCTGCTCCTGGCAGCGAAGAGGGGACAGGAAGGGACAGTATCAATCACTGGGGTGCAAGTCGGGTCACAGGAAGAAAGTCTCAATGTCAGCCCCCAAACACCCTGTCAAGTTCAAGGCCATATGTCCAGATGCCTCTCCAACAGAGCCCTTGTTATGGGACTTGTCCTACACTCCCAGTTCCCAGATTCAGCAAATATGCACGGGGTACCTTGTTAGGAACGACAGCCAGATAAACAACTACCTTGTCGGTATAAGTATAACCCGAATGTTGTCAGGGCTGTACTTACACTGAAAAACTGGTCATTTCTCTCTCACCCGGCTGTGGATGATGAATGTTTAAGGGCATTACTGTTCTGATGATCTCATCAGCATCTTTTCCTGGCTTAATATCTATGAATAGCCAGGAGTGGGAGGCAAGAGCTGTGTTTTCCAGAGGAACAGAGGCTCAGAGAGGCCAACTGATTTATTCAAGGTCACACAGCCACCAGGCCAGCACAAAAACTCAAGGCCTCTAAAGAGGGAGTGGTGGTTCTGGCAGCAAGCAGGGGTCAGAGGGGAGGCCTGGCCTTACCTCTGACACTTGGATATGCTGATGGGGTTCCGTCTGGCAGAGTTCACTCAGGTCGGGGTTGTGGTACCTCCCATCTGGGTAGAGGTAGCTGGGCAGAGCAATGAGAGGCAGCTGAGGGTCCATCCAGCCTGCCTACCCCAGACCAGAAAGTATACTCCTGGCCCACCCTGGGGTCCTTTCCTCAAATTGGGACTCTCTAGGGCCAGCTGTGACCCCCTCAGACAGAACAGCAGGTCTTAACACAAGTCTTCACACGTATTTTAATTCTGGAATCCTCTTCTCCAGTGAAACCTGACCGGGAACTCGGATATGACAATGGCAGAGGTCCGGAATGCAGAGCCGGGCTGTTGGCTTCAAGCTCCAAGCTCCAGCTCTTTAGCTCAGTAATTGTGTAACTTGGGCAAGTGGCTGGGGGGCTCTGTACCTCCGTGTCCTCAGTTGTTAACAGGGGTATAATAGTGTGTATAGTACCTCTCTATACACATGCTATACCTCCCTTATTGATAGATTTGGTAGTTGCAAATTTGCCTAATTGTTAAAATATATTTGTAACCCCAAATCAATACCTGCAGCACGTTCACGGTGAGTCCTAGACATTCACGCAGCCACAAAACCCAAGTGGCTTGACAGGCAGGCTCCCAGCTGAGGTTGACCATGGCCACACTTGGCCTTGATTCAGCTCTCAGACTATAAACCAGGGTCCTTTTCACAGCCAATCTAATGCCACTTCTTTTGCATTTTTGCTGTACTTGATGCCTTTGCTGATTTAAATGCTCCCCCACCCCGCCCCACCCCAGCATGGTGCTGACTAGTGCAAAAGGCCTATGAACCTTATGGAGGAAATCTGTGTTGGATGTACTCTGTCCAGGCATGAGTTATAATGCTGTCGGCCATGAGGTCAATGTGAATGGATATGTGTATAAAATTAGGTGTCTTTAAACAGAAACGCACATAAAGGTTTCGATGTAGTGATTGCTTGACAAAAATTGTGTGACCAGATTCTTGCAGGAAACTATACTGCATACCCTGGATGTGTTCAATATTAACTAATCCCATCTTTGCAGTAACTTTACTGCAAGAGCAAGAGTCGGTTGCCTGCCTGCCTGTTTATCTATTGCCTGTCATGATTCAATCATCTATGTATACCAATTTATCATCTTAACAGTCATCTCACATCACATCTGTCCAATAAAAATGACTGTTAAGAAGGTTCTGGTTAAAGGCGAGGAGAACAGGGAGCCTCATTTACCTCCCCTCCCCCTACCTCCTGCCCAAAGCAGCTTCTGAAAGAGGTCCGGGGAAGTCCCAGTTATGGGCTGTAAACACCGGCTCTAGCCATTTGCTCAGATTTCTCTCTGCTCATGCAATCTAGATTCTAGGACAGAAGATAGATATCGAGAAGCAAAATCCTTCAATGCAAGACCCTGAAATGGAGCCGCTGGGATTGTGCCCCTTACACACACACACAGACACACAGTGTGCTCACTCAGAGTAGCACCATAGAATTAGAAAAGGTGCCCCTTCCTCCAGACCCTTGTCTGCCACCTGCTGGAACACTACAGTTTCACCCAGCTGCTGGACCTTGGTGCCCCTGACTTGGTCGTGGGTAGTGCTCCTTGAATGGGAGTTCCTGTGACAGGGCCTCTCCTCGTGGCCCCGCCCCCGCTGCCAGGATGGGTACTCACAATCCTTCCTTTTGTCCTTCTAGGAGCACCTGGAACAGGGGTTTGTTGGGAGGAATGGTCTGCAGGATGTTGCCTTGGGAGTTCACATACCCAATGGCCCACTGCCCCAGGCGAGTGCAGCTGGGCCTGAAGATGTAGCTGAGGGAAGAGGCAGGAGGGGTGGGGAGAGGGAGTGGTCACCGGTTTCCCTCTGGGACAGCCTGGCCCCCATTCTGTTGGGGGTGCAGGAGTCTAAATCTCTCCTCCCTCGTAACCCAGGTTCCCACTCTCAGGTAATGAAGCACTACATCCCTCTCTGCCACTCAGGGGATTTTTTACCTGCTCTAGGCTTTTACCTGCTGGCTCCTTGTCCTTTACTGGAGTCTAGAGAAGGCTAATTCTGGCTGGGCCCATCAGTGCATTTCAGGACCCCAGGCCAAAGTGATGGGAGTCGATCCTGGGACTAGAAATATCCAAAGCAAGGTACCTTGCTTCTAGAAGATGCTAAGCTGGTAAGGGGTACAGTTGGGGCTTCCAGAGAGCTCTTGTCACCAGGAGGAGATACCCTCACTGAGATGGAAGTTAACACAGAGGAAAGCAGACACATGGATGAACAGGAACTCTTTCCTGAGCACCTGGATCCAGTGATGCTGAAACCCCACATCTGGTCTTCAAACCAGTTTGAAGTTAACTTGAAGAGTGTTAATATACTCCTGTCCTGGGCAGACTGCACCTCAGTCCTGCAAAGGCTCCCTCCCTATTCTCTTTACCTCTTGGTGTTTCATGTAGGTCAGTCCCTCAATCATTATCCTTCTGGGGTAACCCAAGGGCTCAAAACTCTTAGTTTGAAATAATTTGGGGACTCAGTTGTTTGGTTCCTCAGTCTCCTACCCCAGCAAGTGAGGACCCCAGCCCACTCCTCCCTCAGACCCCAGAGTCCAGGCCTCTAGCACCTCTGGACCCAGAACAGGGACTCTGACTGATCAGAAATGGACCATGTCCTAGGACAGGTCAGATGTCGTTCAGGAGGTCCTGGGACAAGAGGTGGGGAGCATGGGGTACTCAGTATTCCACCTTTGAGTTCTCGGCTCTCTGGGGCCTGAGGTACTTCGGACTTTTGGGTCTTCCTCTTGGGCTTCCACCACACCTCAAGCCTCGACCCAGACTCATGAGCACCCCCAGCCTCCAAGTCCACCTCCTTAAACCAACCCTTTTACCTGCCTGGCTTGTCCCTGTAGGCCTGCAGTCGTGCTTGGACCTCATCGTACGTGAGGAAGGCCATGTAGCCTGGGTGGTTGACTGCCAGGAGCTGCCAGTTCTTGAGGAGTGTTGGCCACGGCTGGGGTGGGTAACACTTGGGTAAGGGAGGGACCAAGGAAGTGACCCACACACCTCATAGTAAAGAAGGGCTCCAGCCCTTCTGCGGTGGGCCTCAGGCTGCTTCCTTTTACACAGAAGACTCCAGAGCCTCCCATTGCCAGGCCCTAGGAGTCTGGGACCCCAGGCCCTCCTCCCTCCGTCCCAGGGGCCCAGGCCCCCAAGCTCTTCTCCCAGCTGAGTCTAAGCTTCCAGCTTGGGCTTTCTCTGACCTGGAAGAGCCTGGTGAAGATGTCAAACTCAAAGATGGACACGTGGCCACTGCAGGTGAGGTCCATGGTGGAGCGTAAGGCCAGGGCTGTGGGGCCTGACTCCACAGGGTGGCAGGTGCGCAAGAGAGACTCAAACTCGGCCCAGGGCAGCACACACCTGGGTGGAGGGGGTGAGGAGAAGCAGCTGAAGCCTCTGGAAGCCTAGGAGGGGAGCATCTCTAGGAAGGACACCACTGGGGGCCGGGGCTCCCCTGGGCTTGAGGGAGGAGGCCTGAGGGCTGGGAGACAGGGTTTGGGGACCTTGGACAGAGTAGGGATGAAGCAGGATGAGGCTCAGAGGAGGTAGGCCCCAGGGGTGGGTACTGGCTCACCGTGCTCCACAGTGCTCCCTCCAGAAGGTGTGGGCTGGGGCTTTGGTGAGCTGGTACGTGTGTCCACAGTAGTTGCCAGCGGGAAAGAGGGCGCTCAACTCGGCGTGCATGTGGCTGAAGATCAGGGCCAGCTTGGCCAACTGTCGCCTATAGGGTGGACAGTGAGCACCTTGCTTTGGAGTTCCATTGACACTGCTGCCCTCAGTGGGGAATCCCCAAGGGCACCCAGACCCTCCGGAAGGTTTCAGTGCAGGGTCGGAGTTGGAGACCTGCTGCCTCCTCCTCCAACCTCAGTTTCCTCGTCTGTGGTAGGAAAGGGGGTGCCGCCCTCTATGCCAGTCATATTCCAGTAAACAGCACCCAGCCCCTGCCTGAAGCCCTAGCCTAGTCAGATACAAGGACAAGGGGAGCTGTGAGCACCCTTTTGGTGAACTCCTGGACTCACCCTTGTCTCCCTGACCTACTAACGGGGATGTGGCAGCAGTGAAACTGAGCTGTGTGATTGTGAGCAATTCCCAGTGCCTGCCCAGGCCTCAGTTTCCTTGACTGTGAAATGGGCATCATAACTCCAGGGTAAGGACTGCCCCAGCCTTGGGTGGAGCCAGGAGGATTTCACATGCCTTCCAAGCACACACTAGCACACAGTGCTAGTGATGTTATTACTACTCGGATCAGGACCCTGGTGCTTCTAGAAGCTGACAGTTTCTAAGCAGCCCCTTTGTGTTACAACCACTCAGCTACAAGCACTAGTCAGAGCTGAGATAGGATTTACATGGGAAATACCAGAGCCCAGACATTTAGTATCAAAGGAAAAAAAGGTGTGTTCGATCTCAATAATTGTTCTATACTAATTACAGGTTGAGATGTTAATATAGTGGATATAGTGATTCAAAGAAAATGTTATCAAACCTCATTCACTTAACAAACTCTTTGTACTCTACTAGAAAAAGAAAAACTACATTTGTAGCTCCTTGCTTTAGATTTTAGTGGAGAGTGGTGGCCTAGAATCTCCTTCCAGGAGTTGCTGGAACCCCCAGGACTCTGGAACACTAAGCTCCTAAGCTTCCTAGTTTCTAGAACCATCTGAATCCAGTACAGTGTTCTCCAAGCTGTTTAAACACCTTCCTAATGGGCTTCTAGAAACTTACTTGATTAGGGTGAGGAGACAATCCCCTCTTGCTGGATTTGCCCACATCCCGCTCAACTGCCAAAGTCCTATCTCACATTCAAGATGGTGGAAACTTGTAAAAAACCTAGACTCCAAATGTGTCCCACAAAAGCATTTTGGGGTGTACATTTTAAAGTATGCTGATTGTACAGAAATTCAACTCTCACAGATCCTAAGGGAAGACCATATGATCCAGATTCTACATATGGGTACAAGCTCTCACTAGTTAATTTTGCCTTTCAGGGTAACCGCTATTGTTGTTTTACATTTTCATTCAAAACCCAGATGATTTTATTATGAACCAACATTTCTTTATATAACCCCCTTATAATAGTTCAGGGTTGGGAGTTTTTTTTTTTTGAGGATTATGGGTAGATAGGCTACATAACCTATGCATTTCATTTCAGAATGAAATTAAGGAGACACACAAAATAATTTGCCTGGCAAGGTAGAGAGCCACAGGCTAAGATTTCCTTCTGAGCTCTTGCCCTCAAACCTCCTAGGTCCTGTCACTCAAGCAGTCCCTTCCCCACAGTTCAGAACCCAATGGCAGCCTGCACACAGCCGCTGGTCTGGAGTTAGTGGTTCCCTAGACACTCAAGTCCAAGGGGTCCCTGTGGGTTCCCCAGGGCAGTAAAGGGGGGCTGCATGAGTAATTTCTCCAGGGTTGTCAATCAAGCCCTTCATTCAGGAAGCTCCCAAGGCTTCCCACACACCCAGGATGATTGCCTAAGGGCTACGGGAGACAGGAAGAGTCAGAAGGGGGATGCTGAATGGCCAAAAAGAGGAAACCAGGCTGAGGACACAGGTATGCAAGAAAGGAAAAAAGTGGGAGGGCCAGTTTTCCGAGTTAGCTCTGGGAGGAAGGCTGGGGGCCTGGACTCCAGGGCTTGAGGGAGGAGGGGCTGGGGGTTTGGACTCCTGGGTAAGGAGCAGGGGCTGGAGCCAGACCTGGGCCTCACTCCTGACCTTTGCTCTGGGACAAGATGACAGCTCACCTGAGGCTGGAGCCTGGCCGGAAGAGCTCGTCGTTGGCCATCTTTCGCTCCCGGGGTGGCAGCAATGCCCCTACCTGCCTGCCCTTGGCCTCCAGGTTGGCTAGGTAGATAACTAGAAAGTCCCAGGCACCACCGGAACCCTCGGGGCCGCCTCCGGCCGTCCGCCAGGTGTGAGCCACATCCTGGAGCAGCTGCACCATGCGGGGCAGCAGGTCCCTCAGAGAAGGGGGACTCAAGGAGAGCCTGGGATCCCCGCATTGTTCTTCCAGGCGTTGCAGCAACCGCACTGCACGGCCCAGCATGCGGTTCGCTCGGGACTGCCGGCCTCGCGCGGCAGCCGCGGCAGCCATGGGTCCCTCAGCTGCCCTAGCAGGATGGGTGTGGCGGAGAAGGCGCGGTCTGGCCCAACCCAGGATGGGGGCGGGACCGAGAGAGACAGGTATGGGGCGGGCTCTGGGAACCGGGAAGGGTCCCCAGGGACCCGTGTTTCAAAGGGGAAGAGGGGCTGGAACTCAGGCACCTTGGCTTCTTTATAGTTGGGGTTCAAATGTCACATGGGGTGGGCTTCCGTGAGCGACTGAAAAGGACATCTGAGTGGGTGAGGGCTGGAGGTAGACGGCAGGATTCTAGAGCCCTCCAGGGAGGTGAGGCTTGGGTACCAGAGTTTCAGTGGAGGAGGGGTAGAGAAAATCTGGGAGGTCAGTGTGTGGTGGTGGGGTGTTAGGTTGGGAGCTTAGCTAGCTGACCCTGCAGGGAAATGGGGCTGAGACTGTTGCAGGGCAGGGAGAGGGGCACCCCAAACCTGCCAGCTCTGAATAGGTTCTGCCATCCACCTCATCAAGACAAAACATGTAAGACCTTTTATGGAAAGGAACTTTAGTGCAATTAGTGGGCACTACAGAAAAGACAAAGAATATAGGTTCTAAATCAAACACCCAAAGTTATCCATACGCTTGTGGGTAAAAAAGCCCACCAAAATGGGACTGACCCAAAGCAAGGCCTGAAAGCTGCCACAAATCTGAAACATCTTCTGGCAGGGCCCCACAGAAAAGGGTCAGAAATGGCCAGATAAGTCTGGGAAGAATACAGCAAAATCAAAATCAAGATAATCACTGCTATAGTCACCCCCCACGGGTCTCTCACCCACATCTGGTTCAACCAGTCTAGGACCAAGGAACAAGAGCCACTTCTTCACCCCTCCCTGCTCCACGGGCCTCCCTCAGGTCTCTCCTTGCTCTCTGCCCTGCCTCCTTCGTCCTCAGTCTCCTCTAGATTCTTCTTCCTATTCAGCTCCACCCTCCTGTGAGGGGGCAGGGAACCTGGAACCTTCCCTTTTCCTGGGGACCACCCTGTTACAGGACCTCGAGCTCGGGGCTCAAGATCTGGATCACATCGTGGTGGATTAAAGGTCAGAGAGCTGAACCTTCGTGGAAGAACGGCCTGGGGGGTGGCCAGGTCCTTTTGTACCGGAGAAGGAAGGCACAGTGTAACTAGATCCCTGGGTGCCTCAGAAAGAGGGTACTGAAGGAGCGTCCAAAGGGCTGACTCCGAGGCCCAAAGAGGAGGGGAGAAGCCGCAGTTTAAGTAGGTGTGCGTGGGGGGCCTTATGGGGGTCCCCATGCGGGGTTGGTAGGGTGGAGCGTTGGGGCTGGGCTTTGGAGCGTGGTCTATACTCAGCTCCCCCAGGGCTGCCCGCTGGGCAGCCACCAGGGGGCGCTGTGGGTGGGCTGCCCCAGGCTCTCTCAGGCATCCATGCCCCTGGGCATCTGTGTCAAGTTCTGATCGCAAACACGTGGGTACCTAGAGAAAATCGGATAAAAAAAAAAAGCAACTGCTAATAGCCTTTACCTTTTCACTCACTAAATTCTCAAAAACCCCTTTGAGGTGGAGGGAGGGAGTTTCCCCTCTTGCACCTGATTCCCTACCCCTACTTTTAAGACTCATTTATACACATAAGAACTGGGGTACAGACCAGAGGTGGTGGGTAAGAGGATTCATCAGAGACAGAGTGGGGAGCAGAACAGGTAGCTCTGCTGAAATACACTGCTGAGGGGAGCAGCCGGAGAGACAGGAGAGATCCACCATGCCCTGTGGGCCACTCCCTGGTGGGGATCGAACTCGTGCTGAAGTGGCTGCCTATAGCTTCACCGTGCTGCACTTTAACCTGTTGTGCCACCAGGGAGGGCCCTGTACTTGACCCCTTCTTGAGCTGATACCTCCCACCTCTTAGAATTGGAGAACCCTGAAATTCTGGAAACTTGAACATTGCATCTCAGACTATGCCGAGACCACATCTTTTCAGTCAGAATTCTGGTGTCTGCCCCCACCCCCAACTCCTTGAGTTCCTGCCCTATCTGAACCTCAGTTTCTCCTCCAGAAACTACTGGCCTGGCAAAAAAAAAAAAAAAAATCACATTTTTCACTATGCCAAAGTGCTGAGGAGGACCTGGTGGATGTGGGCAAATTATTTTAGAGAATAATTTGACAGCTCCCATCAAACCTTTCATAGGGCCAGTTCATCACCAGTTATATCCTTCAGAGTCCTGGTTTGTAAATACGTTTGCTCACTTCTGGACATTAATTAAACAACTGAAAGCGCAGAGTTCCACAGGAGACTCCTCACCCTGACTATGCGCAGCTGCTCTAAGATCTTCTATTTAATCTCATTTCATTAAAGGAAAAATCGTGTTTGCAACCCACTAAATAGTCTTCAAAGCCCACTAATGGGTTTTGTCAGGCATTTTGAAAAATCTTGCCCTAAGAAATGCCAAGAGACATGTGCAGGGATGTTCATTATATCCTTGTCCAAAATAAAGGAGGTTGGAAACAAGGTGCGCATTCATCACCAGTGGGGGGCTGAATACATTGTGGTATATTCTCACAATGGACACCCACACAGCAGCTCACATAAGTGAACTGGATATACATGCCGATAGCATGAGTAAAAACGTAATGATGAGTGTACTGGCTTGAATAGAGCCCAGCTACCCCCCTCCCCCCATAGCCACTGGCATGTGAATGTCACCTTATTTAGAAATAGTCTTTGCAGATACAATCAAGTTAAGATGAGGTCACACTAATTTAGGGTGGCCTCTAAACCCCACAGGACTGGAAATTTGGACACAGACACAGATACCCACACAGGGACAAAGTGAAGGGGTATCAGAGACAGATATTGGGGTGATCCATCTGTGGTTATAAACCGAGGAATGTCAAGGGTGGCTGGCAAACAGCAGGAGAGCAAGGAAGGCTCCTCCCCCTAAGGGAGAATGCTTGGCCATCACATTCATCTGGAGCTCCTGGTCTGCAGAACGGTGGGAGCCCATTTCTATTGTTGATCCACTCAGTTTGTGTTCTTTTGTTACAATGGCAGTTGAAAACAAATACAACGAGGGCCCCCCCTGGTGGCGCAATGGGTTAAAGCACAACATATGGAACTACCTGCAGTCATGGCAACATGAGTTGGATGCCTGGCCAGGAAGGTGACCCACAGGGCGCAGCAGACCTCTCCTGGCTTGTCCGCTGCGCCTCTCAGCAGTGGATTTCAGTCAACCTGCCTATTCTGCTCCTCACTCTGTTTCTGGTGAATCCTCTCCCACCCCGCACCTCTGGCCTGTACCCCAGTTCTTGTATGCATAAATAAATCAATCTTAAAAAAAAAAAACCAACTAATATAATGAGTAGAAAGAGCCAGCCCATGGTAGAGCACTATGTCACTATTTCAGTTTAGAAAACCTGCAAAGTCCAAGCTATCTATAATCCAGGGAGGACACCTGTAACGGAACCAAGCATGTTCACATCGAACATTAATGCAGAATGTGGAGAAGAAAAAGGCTGGACTGAGAAGGATTCCTGCTTTATTTTTAAAAATCTAGGTCAAACATGACAGAATAGTTAAGAGTTCATAGGTATATAATGGATACAAAGGAAGTAAATGATGTGGAAAAATACTCTATCATTAGCCATCAAGGGAATGAAAATCAAAACCACAATGAGATACCACTTCACACCTGTTTGGATAGCTACAATCCAAAAGACAGACAATAATAATAAGTACTGAAGAGATTATGAGGAAATAGGGACACTCATATATACATGACTAGTGGAATATTTTTAAAGAAGATTTATTTATGCATACAAGACTGGGGTGTAGGCCAGAGGTGAGAGGATTCACCAGAAACAGAGTAGGGAGCAGAAGAGGTGGATCTACTGAAATACACTGCTGAGGGAGCAAGAGGAAAGCCAGGGTGTTACCTCCCTGACCGAGGATCAAACTCATTTTGCAGTGACTGGCGATATCTTCATAGCACTGTGGCTTTAACCCCAACGCCATGGGGGATGTCCTACTAGTCGGAATATTGACTGGTGCAGAGTCTTAGGAAAACAATTTGGTCTGTCTTCAGAATGTGAAACATGGGGTCACCTTATGATCACACACACGCACACAAACATACATATATATATATTTGAGGTATAGGATATATTTACATATATCTCCTATATACATAGGTATATATATGCCTGAGGGATTAGAAAGATGTATCGGCCCTCCCTGGTGGTGCAACTGGTTAGGGCGCAGCACTGCAAGCTAGCCCGCTTCAGTGTGAGTAAAATCCCAGGCCCCGGAGGTGATCCACATGGCACAGCAGGCCGTTCCTGTCTTGCCCTCTGCTCCCCTCAGCAGTGTACTTTGTCAATCTGCCTCTTCTGCTCCCCACTCTGACTTGGTGAATCCTCTCAATGTCCCTGCACCTCTAGCTGTACCCTAGGTCTGTATACATAAATAAATAAATCTTTTTTTTTTAAGGAAATATGTATCAACTCATAATTGGGGAAAACAACCCAAATGTCCACTAACTGATAAGGAGGTAGTTAAAGTCCCTCGGTGGAATATTACATACCAGTTAAAAGGGAAAACAGTATACTCACATGTTAATGACAACTGGCATACATTCTGTTAGGAGTGCATTATTGTGTGAAGGTCACACAATAATTATACAAACCTAAATGGCACAGCCTACGACAAATAGAGGGAGGATGGTGTATCCTATCTGAACCATTGTCATATATGCTGTCTGTCATTGACACAAGTGACCTTAAGTGACAGACTGTACTGATCCATGCTTCTGTGTAGATAAACCTTGAGAACATTATGCCAAAATGAAAGAGACCAATCACATCGGGCCACCTTGTGTGATTTAATTTATCTAATACATCTAGAATAGGCAAACATAGGGCTTGCCAAGTCCAGGGAGGGGTGCTAGAGAGGCGCTACCACTTGGAGTCAAAAAAATACTTTAACATTTATTGTAGAGATGATTTCATAGGTCCCTGAAGTTACTAAAATTAT